CAGGCCTTAGAGATCTAAAGTGTGGGATCTAGAGACATGTTAAACCCGATGGCATTGGAATTTGCTTTTGAAGTCTGAATTTCTCCTGGCTGCAATAAGAACTTAGGGTTTCTGAGAAACATACTGGCAGAAGCAGTTTCAGGGGCAAATCCAATTACCTCTGAGTTGTTCTTTTAACGGTAAGTTCTGTTCCGTGCTCTGCAGGTCAAGAGCAGTTCAGATTTCTCTCTGCTCCCATTTGAGTCGTACTTCAGGTCTGCCTCCTGCTTGTTGTAGCTCTACACATAACACACCAAGGGGCAGAGATCTGGTTTCCACACAATGGCCCACCATTCAGCCAGATTCTGCTTTGTCCCTAAATATTCATTCTCCCTGGCTCCTGCTGGGTCTGTTATATTCAGATATGAACTTTCCAGGAATCTGATCATGCCACAGGCCTTTTCCTGTATGACAAGTTCAATGCTAATCATGAATAGCAGGCTTCATGCAGAGGTTTAGTATTATTCATGAAAATTGACTCCACATCCAGAAATAGGGCAAAAGTGGCCTAAAATAGGCAGGTTGTATCTCTGTTAAATCCGCCAGGCAATTACCAACGTCTCTTGCTACAAACGACACAAGAGATTTTGCTCAACTGTGTTAATCAGACACACTGTGCTGCCAGACTCTATGTCTGAGGTCCAGCCTGATGGGGAGCCCTGGTCCCCACAGGGTAAACTGAAGGGTTTTCCAAAGAACCAAAGTCAGATACCACCCACCCTCTATCCCCAGAAACCAGGTACTGTAGAGCTCTCATTCCCAACTTCTACAAATCTCTGCCCAGACCAACTCAAGGCTAGCTTTAGAGATTTTATTTTTTTTTTATTTTTTATTTTTTTGAGGCGGAGTTTCGCTCTGTCGCCCAGGCTGGAGTGCAGTGGCCGGATCTCAGCTCACTGCAAGCTCCGCCTCCCGGGTTCACGCCATTCTCCTGCCTCGAGACTCCCGAGTAGCTGGGACTACAGGCGCCCGCCACCTCGCCCGGCTAGATTTTTGTATTTTTTAGTAGAGACGGGGTTTCACCGGGTTAGCCAGGATGGTCTTGATCTCCTGACCTCGTGATCCGCCCGTCTCGGCCTCCCAAAGTGCTGGGATTACAGGCTTGAGCCACCGCGCCCGGCCAGCTTTAGAGATTTTAGAGGGTTATCAAGGGGCCACAGAAAAGTTGAAATAATATTTAATTTTCCTTTTTTGGAACAGTAAAGCATATCTGGTAAATATTACAAATTAGACGCATACTAAGTGGTTTATAGCATTTTGTTATAATTATCTCTTCTGGAACCTGGTTTCAATGACCACATGAATCAGCTCCTATTGGCCCAGATTATATTTTAGAAATACAAGTCGAAGATTATCTTTCCAAATAAAAGTGCCCAGATTGAAACCCCCTCTTTACCACTCCCAAGAGAATGACACAGGCTGGTACTAAAAGACTATCTTTGTGTTGAACAAATGGACCGAGGAAAATCTGCTTTCCTCTCCCTCTGCCTCTTTCTTCTTTACATAACTAGAGGCAAATGAGATGTTTTTCATTTTAAAAATTTGATTAAGCAGACTGAGCAAAAGCCCATTCTTCTGGTCTTTACTGTTTTCTCAATTTGGGGACTGGAAGAAGGCACACTCAGGTTGGAAGGATAGTGAAGCTAAGCCTGAACTGCCAGGCAGTGTTGACATCTGGGCGTTTAAATTACAAAAGGTGAGCACTATGTCTGCAGCACTGGTAGGGGGCCGCCTTTCCCCCTGAAGGCCTCAGAATTCAGATGTTATTCCAGGTACTAGTGAAAGGGTTCCCAGGTCCCATATATAAGCCTCCTGACCTGAGAGGTGAGAAAGATGGCAAGGCAAAGGGTAGGTTTAAATAATAAGAAAAAAAATAACCCAGATAGAATGTTATGAACGCACTGTCTTTTTCTTCAGCTCTAGGCACTGAGCTCTTTTGGCATATTTTAAAATACATTATATATACTACATTAATAGACTCCTTACAGAACCAGATCTTCCTTTAGTTTCTGTGGTTCAAACCTTCTGAAAGAGCTTTCTACACACAGTATTTTCTCTACCTTGTTTAAAAGTACAGTCATATATCTCTTAGGCAAGGATTCGTTCTGAGAACTGCATGGTCATATAATTTTGTTGTTGTGTGACCATAATAGAGTGCACTTGCACAAACTGAGATGGGATAGCCTACTACACACCTAGTCTATAATGGGATAGCCTGTCACTCCTAGGCTACAAATCTGAGCAGCATGTTACTGTACTGAATACCATAGGCAACTGTAACATAATGGTAAGTACTTATGTATCTAAGCATATCTAAACATAGAAAAGGTACAGTAAAAATACTGTATATGAGATAAAAATTCGTTTATCTGTATCATGGCACTTGCCATGAATGGAGCCTGCAGGACTGCAAGTTGCTCTGGGTGAGTCAGTGAGTGAGTGGTGAGTGAATGTGAAGGCCTAGGACATTGCTGTACATTACTGTAGACTTTATAAACACTGAACATTTAGGCTACACTAAATTCATTAAAAACTATTTTTCTTGAATAATAAATTAACCTTAGCTACTGTAACTTTTTTACTTTATAAACTTTTTAATTACTTTAGCATTTTGACTATTTCATAGTAACATTTAGCTTACAACACACATTGTATAGCTGTACAAAAATATTTTCTTCCTTTCTTTATATCCTTCTTTTTCTTTCTTTTTTTTTTTTTTTGGAAACAGACTCTTGCGTTGGCCAGACTGGAGTGCAGTGGCATGATCTCGGCTCAATGCAATCTTTGCCTCCCAGGTTCAAGTGATTCTTGTTGCTTAGCCTCCCAAGTACCTGGGATTACAGGTGCATACCACCAAACCTGGCTAATTTTTGTGTTTTTAGTAGAGATGGGGTTTTACTATATTGGCCAAGCTGGTCTGGAACTCCTGGCTTCAAGTGATCTGCCCACTTCAGCCTCCCAAAGTGCTGGGATTACAGGTGTGAGCCAACGCGCCCAGCCTTTATATCCTTCTTCTATAAGTTTTTTTTATTATATTTTTAAATGTTTTACTTTCGTTTACTTTTTAAACTTTTTTGTTAAAAACTAAGACACAAACACACACAATAACCTAGGCCACACAAGGTCAGGATCATCAGTATCACTGTCTTCCACCTCCACATTTTGTCCCACTGGAAGGGGACAATAACACACATGGAGCTGTCATCTCCTGTGAAAACAATGCCTTCTTCTGGAATACCTCCTGAAGGACCTGCCTGAGGCTGTTTCACAGTTAACTACTTTTTTAATAAGTAGAAGGAATATACTCTAAAATAATAGTAAAAATATAGTATAGTAAATACATAAACCGGTAACATAGTTGTTTACTATCATTATCAAGTATTATGTACTATACAAAATTGTATATGTTATACTTCTGTGTGACTGGAAGTACAGTGGGTTTATTTATACCAGCATCACCACAAACACATGAGTAACATGTTGCACTATAACATCAGTAGGCAACAGAAATTTTTCAGCTCCATTATAATCTTTATACACATATATAAAGACTAGTCCATGCCTGTAATCCCAGCACTTTGGGAGGCCAAGGCGGGCGGATCACCTGAGGTCAGGAGTTCAAGACCAGCCTGACCACATGGAGAAACCCCGTCCCTACTAAAAATACAAAATTAGCCAGGCGTGGTGGCACATGCCTGTAATCCCAGCTACTTGGGAGGCTGAGGCAGGAGAATCACTTGAACCCAGGAGGTGGAGGTTGCAGTGAGCCGAGATGGCACCACTGCACTCCAGCCTGGGCGACAGAGTGAGACTCTGTCTCAAAAAAAAAAAAAAAAAAAGATTAGTCAAGTGCAGTAGTGAGAAGGGAAGAAAGAAGGAAGAAAGAAGAGTAGAAAAAGAAGTGTGATCTGTAACTGACTGAACAATCAGTTTAAATACTCCATATGGGACCACCATTGTATATGTGGTCTGTTTTGTGTGGTGCATGACTGTATCTTTTTAAGATTCCTCCTATACCATACACTCCCGAAGGTCAGCGTATCCTATTGTCTTTGTAGTTTGCATATAATAAACAGTGAATACAGGTGCCGGGTGCGGTGGCTCACACCTGTAATCCCAGCACTTTGGATCATGGGGTCAGGGGATGGAGACCATCCTGGCCAACATGGTGAAACCCCATCTCTACTAAAATACAAAAATTATCTGGGCATGATGGCACATGCCTGTAGTTCCAGCTACTGAGGAAGCTGAGGCAGGAGAATCGTTTGAACCCAGGAGGCGGGGGTTGCAGTGAGCTGAGATCGCACCACAGCACTCCAGCCTGGAGACACAGCAAGACTCTGTCTCAAAAAAACAAAACAAAACAACAACAACAACAAAAACCCAGGGAATAAATGAATGAAACAGTTAGAAAACAGGTATTTTAGTAAAAGGCTGAAGAAACTGGGTTGTGAGTTATTATTATAAACAGTAGAACATGTTAGGCTAATGTGGGTAAAAGAACTACCACATCAGCTTTGTATGGTATTTAACAAGGTATTTACCAAATATCGCTTCTGGGGACCTATTGAAATCCAAATAATAAGTAGTGCCATCACTGAGTTTCACTACGTATAAAGACGTTCGTTCCAAAAAGTACAAGATACTTTTTCCCCTAGCCTGCTTCTGAGCCGTTGCCTTCTCTATCCCTGAAAGAATCAGAAATTAACCAAAAGTAGGAATTCTCATGGGGCTTACCCATCAAGGGAATACCTTTAGAATGAGGTGCCAAGGAAATCAGCATTCCTATTCCTGAAAAGCCTCAACAAGAGTAGCGAAAATCCTCAGCCCAGGAGGGCTTCTCCTTTCACATGCTCCATGAAATCCACCAGCCTAACTACCTGACTCTGGCAGGGGCCTCCCTCTCCGCACTCTTAGTTTCACAGTCCTGTAAACCATCACATTGGGTATTACAGTCTTACTCTGGCAAGCAGGTATCTCACAGTACTTCCAGTAGACACCATCCTCGTGCTCTGCCACATAGCACCAGGGGCTCACGTCTCCATCTGGGTTTCTGTTGGGGAAAAGGACAAAACTGATGACTTCTGATGTTTTAATTCAGCTGGTTCATTGCTTTTCAGTTTTACAGAAAAGGAAATGCTTTAACTTCTGTATTCTCTCTAATAGTTGGTCCGTATCTCAGTGCTGTCTCTCATCAAAAGGGAAAAAATGGTAATATTACAAGAACAAATATATCTGCTCTGACAGATACTTCAGAGTCTGGGGGGAAGTGAGCAAAGGTAATATATGTTTAGGCAAATTCACTGTAGTATAACTAGGACAAATGGCCACTGCACACATCATGCCAAATAGCACTGGCACCTTGAATGTGAACGTGGAGATTCCAAGGCTGAGTGAGCATAGGGGTTCTCAGCGCTGCTGATGAATATGCGAACTGACACAAATGGTCAGAGCAGCAATTTGGGAATTAGAGCCAAAGGACCTAGAAATATGCAAGCCCCCCACTTGGCAATTTCTTCTTTAGGAATTTATTCTAAGGAAATCTTATCTATAAAGATGTTCAACAAAACACTTTTATAATATAAAAAAACAGGTGGAAATAGCAAATATCCAACAACAAAGGATTGGTTAAATAAATTGTATATCCATAGAAGGGAATATGTGATATAGAGACCAGTCTTATTAATTTGCAAATATATTCACAATGCCTTGTGAGGCTTTTTTTTTTTTTTTTTTTTTTTGAGACGGACTCTCACTCTGTCACCCGGGCTGGAGTGCAGTGGCGTGATCTCGGTTCACTGCAACCTCCAACTCCCAGGCTCAAGCAATTCTCCTGGCTCACGCCTCCCAAGTAGCTGGGACTACAGGTGCCCGCCGCCATGCCTGGCTAATTTTTGTTTTTTTTGTTTTTAGTAGAGGTGGGGTTTCACCATGTTGGCCAGTCTGGTCTCCAACTCCTCACCTCAAGTGATCCGCCCATCTCAGCCTCCCAAAGTGCTGAGATTACAGGCGTGAGCCACCATGCCCAGCCTTCTTAGATGTGTTTTTAAAGAGGCAGTTATAAAACCCAATAGATGACATAATCCCATGTTTTGAAAAGACTTATTTAGGAAAGAATGTACACCAAACTCTTATAAAGTGTCTCTAGACACTGAAACTATTGGTGATTTCAACTTTTTTCTTTTCTGGTTTTATTTTATTTCCTCTATATTGAATACTCCAATGGTGTAATTTTTAAACAGTAAAATAGAATTCACTTAATAAAGACTCCACTGGGCTGGGTGCAACAAGAGCAAAACTCTGTCTCAAAAATTAAAAAATAAAAATAAAAATAAAATAAAAGACTCCACTGACAAGCTTTCACCAGGATCAGGCTCACATTTGCTAGAAATGGGTGCTATTCCTTCCTCAAAATGCTGACTCCTCAGAGAATACTGAAGAAAATTGCGTCAGTCTCAGCTAGAACTTGTGATCCTGTCATGAGGTACCAACTTCTGATATGGAGATAATATTTTTAAAGATCTATTTCACATTTCTAAATGAGAGTGGCCTGGAGTAAATATGCTTTAAGGTCTTTCCAACTCATAGGTGGCATAACAATAACAAGCAACACTACTGAAGCAGATAAATAAAATGGCAGGGGCTACTGGACACACAGAAAAGCCTCGCCTCTCTTCACTGCTTTCCAAGCCCCTTTTATTTAGACTCAGAACACTGGAAAGCTGACACTCCGGTTAGGCCGGAAATGGGCATAAAGATCCTGCAACAGGAGCTGGGAGTAACCCCTATCAGGCCAGAGTGGACTAAGCCTATCGTGTAGCCTAGAAGATAAGCTTTCCCAAAGTACAAAGCGTCCTTTTGTTTCTTGTGCCCAAAGGCAGGTGCCAGCACCAACTCTGCTCTTCCCCAGTCTCTGCCTTCCCTTCTAAGCCAGTTACTTTGAGCCCAGAAAAGTGCATTCCCATCACTCGCCAACTCTCAGACATCTCTAATGTGATGGGTCTGAAAAAGTCACACAAAACAAACATGGTGTCGGGTGTCAGCTGAGAAATCAAAGTAGGAAAACTTGTACAAAGCCCTTCTTTAAACAGTATTTCACTGTCATTTTCCTCCCTCTATTCAGTGTTCAGCTTTGATGTATTTATTTGGTAAAGCCCTTAGAAAACTGTTTATTACCAATGTCAAAACCATATTGAAAAGCATCAGAATAGCTTAATAAAGAACAAGCAAATTCATCTTTGACTTTGCTGCAGTGCTAAAACAAAAGGCCTGGACTCTTTGATGTGATAATCAACAATTTCAGCCTCCCTTTTCCAAAGTACAAACTGGTATTAAATAGTTCAGGTCTCCTGCATTCCATCAAATCAAACGAGAGGGTTTGATTTGATGGCTGACCAGGGCTAAGGAGAAAGGTGGTCCCTCCTGGCTCTCACTGCTCTCTTAATGGATGTTTACAGGTACATTTCTAGGAGCCTGTGAGTAGAAGTTGGTGCTAATCCACAAGAAAGAAAAATTTTTCACATAAATTAGGCCTCACTGGAAACTTAAAATGTATCTTAAAGTCAGACTTAAAAACATGAGCTCTTCTAAGACGACTTGCTTGATAGGAAGCAACAGAGCAATAGAATAAACCAACAGCCTACTACCAAGAGACACTGTGGAACAAAAAGATGAGTAACTGTGGGAAAACAAAAACCAAATACTTGTCTCTCTTCCTAAACACTCTTCTCAACCCAACCCACTATTCCTATGAATAGAAAACCTATGGGAAGGTAATAAAAATTGGGGTGGGACTAATTTTTTAATTTATGCAAAAGATAAATTAACATGTATAACTTGGAAAATAAAATATAAAAGAATTATTTAATGAGCATGTGTAACTTGAACAATAAAAGACAACAGATAGCAAAATGTGAAGGGGCAAATACCCAAATTGGTTGTCTCTGGGACTTGGGACTTGGTGGGGAGGGTTTCAGGGAAAATAGGTAAAATGGGGAACTCTAACTATTTAAATAACATATATTTGTACTGTTTGAGAAGTTTTTTTTTTTTTAAGAACAAGCTTTTAACACTTTTATAACAAACAAAATAAGTCAATAGCAACTAGGAGGGAATAGTCAGTTGATACAAGATAGGCAAAGGTATAGGGATAAAGAAACCATAGACTAAAGGCCTGGTGACTTTGAGACAACTACAAGGGCCCTAGAGTGTTAGAAAAGGTATGTAGATGGCAGAAGGTAAACAGTGTGGCCCACACAATACAGGAAAATATATGTTGGCTCAGCTGCGTCAACAGTGCCATGGTTGAGATTCCAATGTATGTAGAACCAGGGACACGGTGTATAGTTCAACAATCATTTTCCCCTATCCCAATGGCTCAAGAGGCTGCCTTTGCACCTGTCCTACTAATAATTAAATTCAATGCATTGCTCAACCATGAGTCTCATTACCAGGATCTTGGGCATAAGCGGCACAAATGTATAACCAAAAGTGCTTACAATCTTTGTTCTGGACCCTACGTATCAGTGATCCTGAATTTGTTTTCTTTTTTTTTTTTTTTTTTTTTTTTTTTTGTTTTTTTTTTTTTTTTTTTTTTTTTTTTTTTGAGACGGAGTCTCGCTCTGTCGCCCAGGCTGGAGTGCAGTGGTGCAATCTTGGCTCACTGCAAGCTCCGCCTCCCGGGTTCACGCCATTCTCCTGCCTCAGCCTCCCGAGTAGCTGGGACTACAGGCGCCCGCCACTGCGCCCGGCTAATTTTTTCTATTTTTAGTAGAGACGGGGTTTCACCATGGTCTCGATCTCCTGACCTTGTGATCCGCCCGCCTCGGCCTCCCAAAGTGTTGGGATTACAGGCGTGAGCCACCGCGCCCGGCCTTTTTTTTTTTTTTTTTTTGAGACGGAGTTTTGCTCTGTCGCCCAGGCTGGAGTGCAGTGGCCAGATCTCAGCTCACTGCAAGCTCCGCCTCCCCGGTTTACACCATTCTCCTGCCTCAGCCTCCCGAGTAGCTGGGACTACAGGCGCCCGCCACCTCGCCTGGCTAGTTTTTTGTATTTTTTAGTAGAGATGGGGTTTCACTGTGTTAGCCAGGATGGTCTCGATCTCCTGACCTCGTGATCCGCCTGTCTCGGCCTCCCAAAGTGCTGGGATTACAGGCTTGAGCCACCGCGCCCGGCCCTGAATTTGTTTTCAATCACAGATAACTCTGAGAAGCTGATCAAAGCTATGGATCATCTCCAGGAAATTGTGAATACACATCTGAAGCACCATGGATGTCGGGTTAAGATCCCCTGCTAGAGTCAGACAGGAGGTGAAAAGCGAAGTAACACCTTAGTCTACTAAAAGGAAGTAAATGGCACACATCTGATGGATACAGTTGTTCCCAGAGCAAGGTTATCCTGGGCTGGCCGGAGGTAGAATAATGTAGGCAGCTTCCTTTGCTCAGAAGCAGAGGGAGTTTTCGGTCACAGATGGTGCTGTTTGACCACAACATTCTCAGTAGCGTAGGCTGCTCTGCTAACTGTGTATTGTCCACTGGTGGTAGGGCTAAGAAAACCCTTCAAAAGAGACAAAGAAGTGATCAGACAGAAAAGTAGAGCTTTGAAAGCCAGCATTAAAGCAACCCATGTTGAAAACAATGGTAAATTTGTGTGTATTTGTGTGTGTGTGTGTGTAAGGTGTGGAGGAAATTTTTTTTTTTTTTTTTTTTTTGAGACGGAGTCTAGCTCTGTCGCCCAGGCTGGAGTGCAGTGGCGCAATCTCGGCTCACTGCAAGCTCCGCCTCCCGGGTTGACGCCATTCTCCTGCCTCAGCCTCCCAAGTAGCTGGGACTACAGGCGCCTGCCACCGCGCCCAGCTAGGAAATATTTTAAAAACTGACAAGATAAGTCTCTTGAGTTGGCCAAAAGACTTTCCCTAGTTGTGAGCTGGGATGAAAGGGGTTGGAAGAAGAGACCAGATATATATCTATTGTTTTAAAGTACTGAGTGGTCCCATCTTACCTGCAATAGTTGTGCTCACCCAGGCCCCCCTCCCCATTGGGGTATTTCAGAGTGTTGTAGGGATGCTGGAAAGTCTCGTTCCAAAACAGACATGGCTTCCCGCCTTGTAGTGCTGTCCAGTTCTGTGTTCCCCTATAATCCGCACCATTGGCTGTGAAACACTCTAGAAGAAAGAAAAGACAGAGCAAACTAATTTTCTGGCAACATTCATAGTTTCCTCCCTCTTTGGTTGATGTTTTGTTTTGTTTGGACCAAGTTGGAAATGGATAGTGTCTTGCTAGATCCTGGACACAGTGCAGTTAACACTTCTGGGGCTGAACAAATCTGAAACAAGGTACCCTCAAAAAGCTAGGCTAATCTTGGCACTAGCTTGTCTACAGACACTAGAACATTTTCCCCTAAAGTATACAGATCCCAACTAGGACATAAACAGGGAGCTGAAGTGTACTGAAGCCCATGAAGTGAACCAGGAAACCCCCAAATCTGGGAACAGTTGGTAACAGCCATCCATGTGGAATTCTGGGTACTCGGAGGGGGTCACTGCTGTAGCCAGTGTCTCTGTGTGGTAACTAGAACCAGGTCACCAGCTGTAACTGAGCTCTCCCCTACAGTCTGAAAGGCTGCACTGACACTTGGATTTAATAAGACCATCGGATACAGCAATGCTTTGGAATCCCAATCACACAAATCTGGGAATGACTCACATTCCCTGGTAATGAAGAACAGTCCTCCCCATGCTGTTTGAGATAGAGGTGCAACAAAACAGACAATCAACATGAGGAAGGAAGGGCCGGGCTGGCATTTTCTCTCACCTCTTTCTGAAATTCTTTTGATGAGGCACATTGAAAATCGTCTCAGGTCCAATTTAATAAAATGACAAATCCTCACAGGTGCAACAATGTGTTTCTAAAATCTGCTTCTCAGACTTTGGGGGATGGGAACTGAGGCTGATAGGATTTTCACCCACATATTGCATGCATTAAACTCGAAGAGGTTCATGAGACAGGCACAGTACAAAGAACAACTTTTTAAAATTAGCTTAGTTGAAACTGACAGATAGAAGCACTTCAAACACTTCTTTAAGATATATCACTAGAAAACTGACAATCTGGGGGAGTTACACTAGCATTCTTAGCTGCATTTCTTTCCTTCTCCTGGCATGCACTGACCTATAATTTCCAGTATTAAAGACTCTTAATACCATCTCCTGTTGTCATCCATGTGCCTACTCCAGTCTAAGCGTCTGAACAACATGAACGCATTCTGGAAGATATTTCTTTTAATACGTCAATCTATCCACAGAACATCTCTCTTCCAGCACCCCCTTCCTCCGACCATCCAGGCCCTGTGTTTTGTCTGGAATGGCACCATTTTATGGATAGCCAAAATAATCTGAACATCCACCTGTGCAGGAAACCCTAGCAATTTATTTTTTATTATTTTTATTTTTTGAGATGGAGTCTCGCTCTGTTGCCCAGGCTGGAGTGCAGTGGCACAATCTCAGCTCACTGCAACCTCTGCCTCCCAGGTTCAAGCGATTCTCCTGCCTCGGCCTCCCTAGTAACAGGGATTACAGGCGCCCTCCACCATGCCCAGATAATTTTGTGTTTTTAGTAGAGACAGGGTTTTACCATGTTGGCCAGGCTGGTCTCAAACTCCCAACCTCAAGTGATCCGCCCACCTGGGCTTCCCAAAGTGCTGGAATTATAGGTGTGAGCCACCACGCCCCGCCAACCCTAGCAATTTATCATGTCTGGTACAACACTCATGTGTTATGGTAAGTGCAATTCTTCGTATACCATGAGGACCAAACCCCTCTACCAAGAGTCTGCATAAATAAGTTCAAAGGAGGAATAAATTGAAGGAGGCAGCTCAGTGTGGCATAAAATGCACTAAACCAAGAGACTAAGCCTTGGCTTCTTGTCCTGGACCTGCTGCTGACCAGCTGTGCGACCTTGGATGAATAAACATCATCCAAATCACTTCTAATATTTACACAGTGTTTTACCATGTGCCAAACTCTGTCTAAGTGCTTTACAAATGTCAACTTGCCACCAACCCAGAGAGGTACCTTAGTACCCCATTTTGCAGATAAGGGAACTGGGTACTCGACCATACCCTAAACTGCCTCTAATGGAACCTCTTCGGCATCATTCTTGCTTCCCCCATTCTCTCCCTCACTCCACTTCCGATTCGTCAGCAAGTCCTGTTGACTTCCCTAAAACATATACCCTGAAACTGCCTTCTTCTCTCCATCTTTGATGCCACCAGTATAGTCCCTTTTATCATCAGAGAACAGTTTGGGTCTCACAGCTTCCACTGTTGTTCTCTTACAATCCATTCTCCATAGTTCTTTTTTTTTTTTTTTTTTTTTGAGACGGAGTCTCGCTCTGTCGCCCAGGGTGGAGTGCAGTGGCGCGATCTTGGCTCACTGCAAGCTCTGCCTCCCGGGTTCACGCCATTCTCCTGCCTCAGTCTCCCGAGTAGCTGGGACTACAGGCGCCCGCCACCTCGCCCGGCTAGTTTTTTTGTATTTTTTAGTAGAGACGGGGTTTCACCGGGTTAGCCAGGATGGTCTCGATCTCCTGACCTCGTGATCCGCCCGTCTCGGCCTCCCAAAATGCTGGGATTACAGGCTTGAGCCACCGCGCCCGGCCTCCATAGTTCTTAAGAGAATGATGGCACTCAAAACAAAACTCAGACTCTTCCTTGGTGTGTGCAAGGCCTCTGTGATGCAGCCTCAGCCCCTTCCTCCCACTGAAGCAGAGCTCTTCCCTTACTCATTCGCTGTGCTCCAGCCACCCTGGTCTGCTTTTAATTCTGTGAACACACTATGCTATTTCCTGCCCAAAATGTTCTTCCCCTAATACTTCCCATCACAGACTAAATACTACCTTCTCAGAAAACCCTTCTTATCATCTTTACTCCTATTTTTCTGCCCTTTGTTTGCTTCACAACACTTACCATCACAAGGAATATATGTGATCTGAGAGAGAGAGAAAGAGAGAGAGAGAGACAATGTGTGTGGTATGTACCACACCAGACACACCAGAGCTCTATCCCAACCCCAGAGCTAGAGCAGGACCTGAAACCTTATTTCTATAAGGCAGTCCAGGTGGTTCTGTTAAGTAATCAGGTTTGAGAACCACTAGACTAGATGATTCTAAGAACATCAGCCAACCTTTACCAATTGCTAGAATTTTAATTGCTGTGTGTTAACACATGTTTTTCTCCTATCAGAACTTGCATATCAAAACATCATACTGTACCCCTTAAATAAATAGGATAAAAATAAATTTTTTAAAAAAGTATGAAGGGTGATCCAGGGCCAGAAATGCAGCTCAATAGATCAATGGAAGGTCTTAGCTATACATAGCAACCTGCAGGACAGGTGGGGTTCCTGAGACTCAGATGACTTGGTTTGTAATACAAAAGAATATGGCAGAATGTGTAATAAAAAGAATCCATGGCTGGGCACAGTGGCTCAAGCCTGTAATCCCAGCACTTTGGGAGGCTGAGGCAGGTGGATCACCTGAGGTCGGGAGTTCGAGATCAGCCTGGCCAACATGGAGAAACACCGTCTCTACTAAAAATACAAAATTAGCTGGGGGTGGTGGTGCATGCCTGTAATCCCAGCTACTTGGGAGACTGAGGCAGGAGAATCGCTTGAACCCGGGAGGTGGAGGTTGTGGTGAGCTGAGATCGCATCATTGCACTCCAGCCGGGGCAACAAGAGTGAAACTCAGTCTCAATAAATAAATAAATAAAATCCACGCACCCGGCAGTCCTCATGGAAACTAGATGGATCTGAGAGTGGAAACGGGAAAGTGCAGGCTTCTTTGCTTGGGTCTGTTCCTCTCAGACCCAATCTTATTCTCAGTTACACTGGTGAAACTGAGGCAATGTATCAGATTCTGTGGTTATTTTTTTACCAGACTTGCCCAGTACATATAAATGATGAAGAAAAGCAAGGAAAACAAACTTGAATGCTCTGCATTTAAAGTCATCTAGTGCATCCTGATTTCATCAGAGTACTAGGGTATATATTAGGTAAATATGACCCTACCTCCCTTATTTTTTTTTTTCTTCAAAACAGTGATTTTATTTCCTTTGACTATATACCTAGAACTGAGATTGCTGGAATATGGTCATTCTATTTTGAATCATTTGAGGAACTTCCATACTGTTTTCTATCGTGATTATGTTAAATTTGTTTAACTTTTATTTTGGGTTCAGGCGTACATGTGAAGGTTTGTTGCATAGGTAAATTCATGTCACAGGGATTTGTTGTACAGATTATTTCATCACCCAGGTACCCAACAGTTCTCTTTCCTGCTGCTTTCCCTCCTCCCTCCCTCCACCCTCAAGTAGACCCCAGTGTCTGTTGTTTCCTTCTTTGTGTTCATAAGGTTCTATCATGTAGCTCCCAGCCTCCCTTATTTTCTACTGCTATGAAACTGATGGAAGCTTTGGCTAAATAAGCAAGGAGTGGCTTACACCAATATGAAACACACACATACACACACTGAGCCAACTGTTTATTTATGTATTCAGTGAAGAGAGAATGAGTGAAAGCAAGAGATCTAATGTCTAGGAAATTATTCATTAATTAATTCAGCAAATATTTATTCAATACTATGTGCCTGGCACTGTTCACAGCCCTGGGGCTACAGAGATGAACAAATATCCTGTATTCATGGGGCTTACATGTTTATAATAAACTGATGAAAATGAATATCATACAGTGATAAGTGCTATTAGGAGGAATGAAGCAGAGGAGAGGGAGTAAGATGGAATGGTGAGGGTTCTCTCTTAGGGTGGGTCAGGGAAAGCCTAGTGAGCAGAGTTGTGGATGAAGGGAGGAAGCAAACCCAGTGAATGAGGCGGGAGGTGTGTAACCAGCAGAGGGTCCAGCAAATGCACAGCCTCTGCAAATGGCAATAGGCTTGGCAGGTTTGGGGAGCTACAAAGCTGCTCCTCTAATCCGACTGGAGCAGAATGAGCAGGGAAGGGCAGGCAAAGCCAGGACATGTAAGGTCTTGAGGGTTAGATAAATGAGATTTTGGCTTTTGTTCTAAGTGTAAGGGGAAGCCACTGGAGGGTTTAGAGCAGGGGAATGACATAATGTGACTTATCTTTATTTTTATTTATTTATTTTTGTGA